AGACACTATGACAATGTCAAATTATAAAGAAAACATTTAACTGGGGGCTTGCTTACAGTTTCAGAGTGTTAGTCCATGACCATCATGGCAGGAACATGGAAGCAGACATGGAAGCATGGTTCTGGAGTAGCAGATGATAGCTTACATCCTAATCTACAGTCAGCAGACAGAGAGAGCATGACTCAACTGGTGTGTGGTTTTGAAATCTCAAAGACCACCCCTAGTGACACACCTCAAGCAAGTGCACACCAACAAGGCCATACCTTTAGCCTTCCCAAATAGTCCCACTAAGTGGGGAACCAAACATTTAAATTTATGAGACTACTGAGGGTGTTCTTGTTCAAATCTCTACAGACCTACAAAAGTTTTCCTATCTTTTCTGAGCTGAGGCTTTGAGGAAGGCTTGTAGAAAGACTAATGTAGTCAAGGAGATAAATTAGGAAAATGATCAGAGGGAAGGTAAGAGAAGAGTAATTTTTGAAAGAATGTGGAGTTCAGGTGCTAATGGGGTATCCTCCAAGTCATTTAAATCTTTAATTCTTGCTCAATAAGTAAATACAGACAAAGAACAAGCTTTATAAACTATTATATGTCATGTATATACATAGACTGTGTGAGATTTCAGTGTGGAAGTGAAATACACACACACACACACACACACACACACACACACACACACACACACACCCCTACCACCACCACCACCAGATACAGAAAGAGTTTAACACAGATGCTTAAAGAACAGAAGCTAAGGTGTAGGCAGATTATAACACACATGCTTAGAGATCAAGGGTGTACAAAGATGCCAATACATCAGGAACAACAGGCAGAAAATAACACAGATGCTGACAGACCATGAGTTTGAGCCAGAAGCTATAGCTCCCCATCTGTGTAACACAGATGCTTATAGGTCATGACAAGCACAGCATTTCTAAAGCACCACAAGGGAATATGCATGTCCTAATACAGCAGAACACACAGTTGTAGTGGTACAGCACTGCCCACGTTTGAGCTGGTACCGCACTGCACATGGATGTTCAAGTAACACAGCATCTCTGTGTATACTCTTACAACACTGCAGGTGTATATATTGTACCAGAAGAGGGGTACACAAGGATGCAGTAGTACAGAGGTGCACAAAGATGCTCTAGTAGAGAAGTGTGCATGAATGTAGTACAGCTGCAGACACAAAAGTAGGAAAGTGGTGCACTTGGAAGAGTTAGTGTAGTAATATACACAGACACAGCAGTGGAGTATCATTCATGTATTGTCTAGGACGACAGCAAAGAAAACTGACAGAAAGGAAGGAATAAAAGTAGAAAAAAACAGACAGAAAAAAAGAAGAAATGAAGACAAAGGAAGGAAGGAAAAGAAACACTGAAATAAAGACAGAAAAAATAAGAAAGATGAAGACAGGTAGATGGAAAAATAGGAAGAAAGAAGAATGGAAATAAAAATGAAGAGAGAAAGAAACACAGAAAAAAGGAAGGAGGGAAGTTAGAAAGAAAAAGGAAGAGAAAAAGAAAGAAATGAAGACAGAATATAAAGGATGGAATCAAGGCAACAAAAGAAAAAAGACATAGAAAGAAAGGTAGGAAGAAGGAAAATACGAATAAAAGACAGAGAGGAAGAAATGGAGACAGAAAGACAAAGAATAAAGAAAGGAAAACAGAAATAAAAGCACAAAAATGGAGAAACAAAGAAGGGAAGGCCAAAAGAGAGGGAATCAAAAAAAGAACAAAAGAAAGCATGTTAAAGAAAAAAGACAGAAAACAAAAAAGAAAGCTTGTAAGCTTAGCTGGGTAGGGTCTTGTCCTAAGGGAACACTTTGCTTTATTATAGTGGGTCTTAGCGAGGGTTTCTATTGCTGTGATGAAGCACCATAACCAAAAGCAACTTGGGGAGGAAAGGGTTTATCTGGGTTACACTTCCACATTGCAGTCCATCTTTGATGGAAGTCAGGACAGGGACTCAAGCAGGCCAGGAACATGGACGCAAGAGCTAATGGAGAGGCCATGGGGGGTGCTGCTTACTGGCTTGTCCCTCAAAGCTTTCTCAGCCTATTTCTTTTTTTTCTTCTGATTAAATAATTTATTGTGAACCATACATTTGAATATAATGTAGATATTTCTTTTTTCCCAGATTTTTTAATTTGAATTAGAAACAAGATTGTTTTACATGACAATCCCATTCCCTTCTTCCTCCAGTCCTCCCCTACCACCCCCCCCAACTAAAACCCTACCTATCACATATCCTTTCTGTGCCCCCCCATGGTGAGGCCTTCCATAGGGGGGTCATCAGAGTCTATTGTATCCTTTGGGATAGGGCCTAGGCCAACCCCTGTGAACATTTTTTTTTTTTTTTTCGAGACAGGGTTCCTCTGTGTAGCTTTGGAGCCTATCCTGGCACTAGCTCTGGAGAGCAGGATGGCCTTGCACTCATAGAGATCTGCCTGCCTCTGCCTCCCAAGTGCTGGGATTAAAGACATGTGCCACCCACGACCGGCTCAGCCTATTTCTTATAGAACCCAGGACCACCAGGCCAGGGATGGCACCACCCACAATGGGCTGGGCCCTCTCCTATCAATCACCAATTGGAAAAAGCCTTACAGCTGAATCTTATGAAGGCACTTTCTCAACTGGGGTTACAACTTTTCAGATGATTCTAGCCTGTGTCATGTTGACATAAAACTAGCTAGTACATAATATAAAGCAGGCCTCTCCTTGATGGAGCTACTTAACAGTTACAATTGCAGCCTCTCTTCCAGCACTTGCCTTGGCTGTAGTGCTGTTTTCTGGTGATCTTCTTCGCTCCAAAACTGAACATTTTGTATTTTTTCCTACTTGCACCTTTTCACTGTAGACTTGCATATAAGTGTCATCAATAATAACACAACACATATAGTAACACCACAATAATAATCACAATCTTGAAATCTCCTCCACTGAAGAAATTAACCACTTTTCATAATGTGTATGAGTATTTTGCCTGTATATATGTATGTATATCACATACATGACTGGTGCCCATGGGGACCACAAGAACTGGTATGGGATCCCCTGGAACTGGAGTCACAGGTGGTTGTAAGCAACCATGTGAGTTCTGGGAATCAAACCTGAATTCTCTGGAAGAGTAGCCAGTGTCTTAACGCTGAGTTCTCTCTCCAGCCCCAGGCTAGTATTTTTAAAGCTAGCTTCAGTCAATTCACTCAAGACATGGGCAGAAGGCAGCCATGTTCTTGGTCCAATTATCCCAGGAATGGTCTGTAGTCATTCTCATCTGAGACCTCTTGAGCTAGGCCTCTACTGACTACATTGCTTCCAGCACTACTGTCTTCTAGGCATTTACTCTAATGTATCTTCAAGTTCTGCTTATAGCATTCATTTTTTTTCTAGTCCAAAACACCAGAATCTTTAGTATTCCTCCCAAGTACACAGTCAGGTTCTTCACAGCAACACCCACTTTCTGGTACCAATTTCTCTCTGTTATTTTTCCTAGTTTACTTTCTATTGCTATGATAAAACACCATGACCAAAAGGAAAGGGTTTATTTGGATTACAATTCCCTGTGAAGATCCATCTTTGAGAAAGGCCAGGGCAGGGCCTTAAGTTGGAGGACATGAAGTCAGGCTGTTTACTGTCTTGCTACCCAGGGATTTCTCAGCTACATTTCTTAGACAGTCCAATGCAACCTGCCCAAGGGTGGTACCTCTCATAGTAAGCTGGGCCCACCCACATAAATCATTTATCCAAAAAAAAAAATGCCCCAGCCAGGCGTTGGTGGCACATGCCTTTAATCCCAGCACTTGGGAGGCAGGTGGATCTCTGTGAGTTCGAGGCCAGCCTGGTCTACAGAGCAAGTGCCAGGATAGGCTCCAAAGCTACACAGAGAAACCCTGTCTCAAAAAACCAAAAAAAAAAAAAAAAGCTATTCTAATTAAGGCAGCATAGTCTTGACAGAGATAGACATGTACATTAATAGAATAAAGTGTTTATCAACACAGCTCCAGATTATAGAAATTTAATATGTAGTAAAGGAGGAAGTGTGTCAGTATATATTGGATCACCTAACCTTGTAGGGAATAAAAGGTCCCTGCCATATATTATACATACATGGCCACCATAATCAGGAAGAGAGAGAGAGAGAGAGAGAGAGAGAGAGAGAGAGAGAGAAGCAAAATGAGAACACATGTTCAAAAATTGAAAGTTTATTTATTTTTGAGTTAACAAAACACGTATGACCTTTCTGTGCTCTGCCTGAGTACCAAGATTCCCCCATGTATTTAGAGATTATGAAAAGAATGTCACAAAACTGTAATTATAAAAGCATTGAATAAAGGTTCAGTGTCCATTATGAGATGTATTAATAAAATATGGCATACTGTTACAATAGAAGACCACAGAGCAGTGTAAAATGAATAAAATAGCTACATGTTTCAATATTAATAAAATTACAAGGTATATTAATTATAAAATGAAATAAAGTTCCAAAATGCTAAATATAATAGATGTTGTGAAAAATAAAAGCAAAAATACTATATGATGTTTAAAGGTTATGCATATGTCATAACAGTTTATAACCATGATTGAGAAAGAAAAACAGCAAATGCAGGGCAATGTTTAAAAGAAACTTGAAGAAGATATGGGCAAAATGTGAGTTCAGAGATATTTTATACTGTTTTTATACATTTAAAGATAGTAAGTGCTTCTTTAACATTCCAATAATTTTAAGGTTTGTGTCTGCTAAAATTAAATTTCTGTAAGAAATTCTACACACTAGTGAAAACTAGAAAATTAAGGGATGACCACAATCAGAGACAGTGAACATCTGTTTTCCTTGTCATTAAATTGCCTTTGGGTGTAAGCAGAGCTCATTTGATGTTCAGCATTTTGAGGCTGGACCCAAGTCCAACTAAGTAACCCAAGTCCATCTCTGACAGTGTATGGAGGGAGCACATCTGTGGAGAAGGTGGAAGAGTGAAGAGCAGGAGTCTTGTGTCATCAACAGATCCTTGCATCTTCTCTGCATTTGAGCTCCTTAGAGAGGGTAGGAGGGAATGTATTACAGACCACATAGAAGTGGGAAAGTCATTTGCTCATTTGTTTCTTCATTCATGCATTAATTCTACTACTATTTGTTGAATACACACTAAGTGACCATCTCTCTCTCTCTCTCTCCCTCTCCCTCTCCCTCTCTCTTCCCTCTCTCTCTCTCCTGAATTCCTTATTAAAGGAACATCAGAAATGAAGCCTCTATTTATTACACCTCACACTTCTTCCTGGGTCCTGGCCTCTCTTCCATATGCACATTCATCGTTTCCACCAGTTGGTGTGTCCATTATTCTGGATGTGTCTTATTGGTTGACATCATAGAAAAATTTAATGTGTGGGCAGACTCTTTGGAGATGGGTCTTAATTATCATTCCATTTTCACACCTTCAACCCAGAATCCCAAGGAACATAACTAGAAAATTTTCTAACTCCAGGATACCACACAATGCACAGTGTTGGGACCTTCTAAAAACCTCAAATGATATTTGGAGAAAAGGGGATACTTACAATCTCCCCTTAAGGCTAGGTAACATTTGTGGGGCTCTTTGAAGGGCATATCCTGTGAATTCTGTGTATTTATTCTTAAGTCCTGTACTACCCATGGCCATGGCTGCGACCTTGTTCTCTCAGGACTAAGGGCCATTTTCAAACTCACCTGTCACAGGTTCCACCGCCTGTATATGTAGATAGTGAGTATACTCAGCACCAGAAGTCCCTTGAAGCATAGGAGGAAAGCCACAAAAATGTGGACATATTTCTCTGAACCTAAAATACACAGGGCAAAGGGGCCAACAAATGGGGTTATGTGAGTTGAGATGGTCTATCTGAGGTTGGTAGCCAGGGAGTTCCCAATGTCTCCCAATTCTGATTCCATCCTTGGGTTCATTGCTCTATGGTTAGCTCTCAGAAGTAAGAGACCTGTGAAGCTTACCTTGAGTTATTTTTAGAACAAACACTGCTTAAAGACCTGACATTCATCAGTCAATGTGCCAACATGAATGTAATCAATCCCTTGTCTCCATGGTCTAGTGGTCACTTACTGTGACCTTTGTTGTAATCTAAGAACATTGGCATTATCAGTAACATATTATAGATGAAGAAATGGGATCTCTGAGAGATGGTTGACTATGTTGCCTAAATTTACACAACTGCAACTGTTAGAATTTAGTTGGAAAACAATTTTACATAAATTTAAATGATAGTAACAGCTGACATTTAGTGTAGACAACATATCAACTACACATCCATTGTATATTAACATTTAATCCTCAAAAGGATTCTATAAATAGGAACCTGATTTATACTCTATTACAGGTAAGTAGACTGGTGAACAAAGGATATATGTTTGTGAAGTAACTACACAGAAATAATTATCATTAGAGTGAGCATAAGGCTGTCCTCAGATATGGCTGTTTAAGTAAGTATTATAGAACAATGTGCAGACAAGCTTACCCCTATACTACTGGAACTGCTTTAAACCAGACTCTTAGTGACAAACATCTCATGATCACTAGTGGATCAGCACTAAGCTAAACTTTCTCTAGGGCATTTTCAAAGAGCTTGAACTGATAGAATGTTCTCCCAATAGAAATGGAAGAACCATTCTGGGTGGTCACTCTACAGCAAGCCACTGGCTGGAGACCAGTCTGCCTATTCAAGAAACCACAGACTTCCAATTTGGACAAGACATCAATGACTATGAAACTCTTTATCTTCCTAGGGTCTTCTGTAATGCAATGAGGAAATCAAGGTAACCCTGATATGACCAAGAGAAAAGAGGTGAACTTACTTAGGTTCCCAATGGTTTTGGCCGTGACATAGGATGTCAGTATAATGCTGGCCTGGATAGGAGGCTGAGCTTCATGTTCTACCTTGCAAGTGATTACTTGATCAGGCCTCTGCAGTGATGTGTTTACCGACTGTGAGACTTCCAGAGTGTAGGACCCATCCTCATTCCTCTTAGGTCTAGTTTGCTCCATTCTCTTGAGCACATGGCAATCCGCCAGCCAGGTGAGATATACTTTCTCTGGATAGAATCTCTGCACAAGGCAAGTGACAGTCACCGGACTGGTGGCAGTTGAAGACTGGAACAGTCTGACTGAAGGAGGAACTGAGACAAAAATCCATATAAAGCAAATAATTACTGCAGAAAATCTACTGGAAGTCCTTTGAGGATGGCATCATCTGCTAGGGCCCAACCCAGTGACTGGCACAAATAAGAATTTGGGTATCAGTTAGTAGGTGCATGAATAGAGAAGTGTACAGTGGGATGTGAGTGGGAATTCAGGTTTGGATAGATGGATAGGAAGGTGGGTTATTTCTTTTCATTTTGAGCTATAAAAAATGTACCAAATCCATTTAGCAAATTACAAATCAGTTGGCTTACTCTATGACTAGACAATTTCAAGATTTGAAGATTCACAGACACCAAGTGTTAGAGACCAAGATATTAAGTTTTTACATAGAAAAAAGAACTCCTCAGTTTGGAGAAGTTATATAATTTGTCCAACATCTCATATAGCAATTCTTGGGATTAAAGAAGAGACAGAATGTTCCACTATATTACAGTGACAACCAAACCATAAATTTTCTGAAAGTAGGACTTGATGACTTATAGAAGGTATAGGGTTGGAGTTGTCAGTGTACAATACAGTGTGTTCACAGTGGCAGACAATGGGTGCAGGGATGAAAATCCCATTATGATCCTTTACAGTGTCTTCACATGAGGTGGCAGCATGGTAGAAATAGCGCAATAAACTGAAGGCTGGGTGTTCTAGATTCTGGCAGCTTGGTAGTAATGGCACACTAGACTGAAGGCTTGGTGGTCTTAATTTTGGTCTTTACATCAAAGCCAACCACATTTGTGTAAGCAGTTTTTTCTCTCTTTCTGAGACTTTGAAATTAAGGCATTTTCTAATACCAAACCAGCTCTCTGATGTCTAAATTAGACAGATTTCAGCTTTTGATCTAGTGTAGATAATGTAAATTCTTATTATTACAACTTGAAGGGACTCAGGGTTTGACACACAGAAATCCTGCTTTTAGAGCAAACAAAGACATTTCTACAAGAGAAAATCTTGCTGGAGACACATATGCTGTGAGCAAGGAAAGGTTGGAAATGCAGCTAATTTGATAAGCAACCAGTTCATTTGTGAACATGTCTATGTTCTATGACTTTTCTTCTTTACACAATTGTCCTAGTTCTGGGCAATTATGTAAGAAATACTTGGGTAAAGAGGCCTCTCAGAGAAATAGAAGAAATTTTGTGAGTGGACTGGGGGCAGGTGGGGCTAGGAACATGAGGGATCAGGTGGGGCGGGGTGGGGGGAGAATACTGAAAGAGTCAACTGGAAAGGGGGGTTATTTCAGGGTTTGGTGGAAATCTGGCGCAAGGGAAACTCCCAGGAATATACAAAGATGACCCCATCTAAGACTCCAAGCAAAAGAGAATATATAGCCTGAACTGTCCACTTCCTGTGACCAGGCAAGATTACTAGTGGAGGCACTGGGACACAAAGCCATCCATACAACCTTTGACCTACAGTCTGTCTGGCTTATAGGATGTGCTGGGGTATGGGTGATACAGAGATCATGGGAGTGGCCAACCAATGACTGGTCCAGCCTGAGATCCATGCCATGTGAGTGGGCCCACCCTGACACTGCCTAGAGTGCCAGGACCCAGAGGCTGGATGGCCCAGAGACCTTGGATAGAACCAAACATGACTGGAGAAAGAAATGTCAATGTAATGATTCCTAATGATATTCTGCTATATTCATAGATTGGTTCCTAGCCCAACAGTCATCAGAAAGGATTCATTTAGCAACTGCTGGAAACAGATACAGACCCACAGCCAAACATTAGGCCAAGCTCAGGGAATCCTGCTGAAGAGAGGGAGTAAAGATTGTAGGAGCTAGAGGGGTCAAGGGCACCACAAGGAAACACACAGAATCAATTAACATGGGCTCATAGGAGCTCAGAGATGGAACCAAAACCATGGAGCCTGCATGGGACTGACTTAAGCTCTCTGCATATATGTTACAGCTGTGTAGCTTGGTCTTCTTGTGGGACTCCTAACAGTGGGAGCAGGGCTGTCTCTGACTCTGTTACCTGCTTTTGGTACCCTATCCCTTATACTGGATTGCCCTTCCCAGCCTTTATACAAGGCAAGGTGTTTAATCTTACTACAAACTCGACATGCCATGCTTTGTTGATACCCATAGAAGGCCTGCTGTTTTCTGAATAGCAACAGAAGAGAAGTGTATTGGGGGGATAGAGAGGGGAGGTAGGGAAGGGGTGGGGAGGATAGGAGGGAGAGGAAACTGTGGCCTGGATATTAAATAAATGGATGAATGAATGAATGAATAAATATTAAAGAAAAAAGAGGCCTCCCTGAACTATCTGTTTATATTTGACATCCAAACATACTGAGGCTGATAACATAAGCAACCTGAATACATAAATAATAGAGCTGGACACAGATCACTTACTCATCAGCTTTGCAATACTGGGTGCTTTCATGTCAGTTGCCTTTTAGAATAAGACAAAGAGTACAAGATACCTGTACTAACTGAGTAAGGCAGTAACCCCCACTGTGCTGAAGTTCATTTTTTATTGTTCAATTTTAAACCTTTAAATTTATTCCTAGGTATGAGACATCATGATTTCCCTGATTTTACAGATCTGTCAAGCATTGGTGCATCCTGTGGAAATCAACAACGAAAAGGAAAAGTGAGGCTCAAATCCAGAAAGAAGTAATGATCTCAGAGCAACATAGTCCCTACAATTTAGAAGCCCAATAGAATAGCAATACTAAAAGTAAATCCCAGAGGGTAAATATTCTGTTTTTCAGATGAAGAAAGCGAGTTCTGAGTGTTAATATGCATAGTTATAACAACAACAAATGCCACTTCTGCACAGTCAGTCTGAGCAGAGCTGGCAGAGTACTTCACAGATTCTGTTTCTAGTGTCACCATCAAGTAATGTCATTACTCAGTGAGTAAACTGACACCAAGAGAATCCCACAGCCTATCTCAACATTACCTCAGCCAGAAAGAGAAAAGCCTTACCACTGAGGTACTGGTCCAAGTTGATGACCTTCTGGAAAATCACTGAAAACTTGTGCTCAACCCGGCAGAGAACTGAAGATAGTATGTCATCACTCTCCAGTGGGACAAGCACACTGCTAGTCACACTGTAGGTATTTCCACTGGTGAAGACATTGGTCTGAGTCTGGAGGTGGCTATGGTTGTTTTTGAGCCAGGTCACAGTAACGTGTTGCGTTGGTAACTTAGAGGATGAGTACTTCAATTGGATGCTTGTTCCAGCTGAAGACCGCTGCAGGGGGCCTTCAAGGTGATTGGAGTAGTCTCTCATTCCTGCAAGAAGAGAGGCTCCACGTCACACCAAATCCCACGTGAACAGTTTCCTGGAACCCCTCTTGCAAAGTCCCATCACTTCCTCTTTCATGGAGACTTGGATATTTCCTGCTTGTAGGAGGATTCTGAAGCTGCTAGCAGTTGGTAAACAGTAAGACCAAAGAGCTCGGAAGACCACACCACATAGAAAACACTCAAAGAAAACAATACCATGCTCTCAGGCTCTCCTAGAATTCATCAAATCTCTACCCCACAACTCTACATGTAGCTGTTACCATTCTCATTTCACAACAAGGACAGGAAGGCAACAATGGGTGGAAGTCCATGATTAGTGACACAGCCAGGAGTTCAAAACCAGGTAGTCTAGTCCCAGGGTCTAGGCCTCTGACCTTATACTCAGTCTTTCCTTCAGTCACCGCTAAAGAGAGTTCTCTTAATGCTCAGACAGGCCATATTGAAAGGTTGGCAGCATAGACTTCGGGGTCCACTCAAACTGCATCTGTATCACACACACACACACACACACACACACACACACACACACAAAAGCACCCATGCATGCATGCATGCACGCACGCAAATAACTTCCCATGCCTCTGTAGTAAAGTGGGGTAAATCTTATTTCTTGAGGTTTTAAGGAAGCTGATGTTGAATGTATGATGCATGGTAACCACTTTACAAGTGTCAACGACTTTCAAATCTCAGAGGATCATCTGAGTTGTTATTATCTTTAAAAAATAATACAGGTAGCTCATGCATTGGTTTTCCCTGAAGAGTCCCACAACTCTGGAAGTGACATCCCTACACTCTCAGGTCTAGTTCTGGAGCAAGAGTCACCCATTGAATTTTCCTGATGAGTTCTCCCAAGCCCATCTGTACACTTCTAGCTCCAGAAGTACAGCTATTACCGTGGATCTCCCTAGTAAGTCTACCAAGAACCAAAACTAACCATTCCATCTCAGAACCCAAGTCTAGCTCTGGTCATACAGTTCTTGCACTATCCCAGCACAAAGCAGGCAAGAATCATACTTCATACTTCAGACACTCAACCAAGGAAAGAAATCCACACCCCTGGGTCACATTGCAAAAACACAACGATGAATGACCAAGATGGCATGTCCTGTCCCCACAATCGCTAGTCCTATAGAAACATTTCCCACTGAAGGATACCTAGATGAACCATGAGACAAAAATGTAAAGGAAAAATTATAAACATCATTGAAGAATTCAGAGTTGTTAAAGAAGACACAAATAGCCCAAATGAACTTAAAGGATATATCAGTAAATGCCTGAAAGATGCTCAAGAAACAAAACAAGAAAGAAAATTCAGAATTGGAAAACTAAATTCAGTAAAGAAATACAAATGTTAAAGAAAACTCAAGCTGAAATAAAGATGCAACTGAAAAACTCAACAACCCAAGTACAAAACTCAGGAAAAGAATTACAAGTAGGATGGACAAAATAGAAGCTATATTATCAGGATTTGAAGCTAAAGCAGAGAAATTTGACCACTCAAGAAAATAATATGAACAAATATTTTTTAAAACATTTAAGTAGCATGCAGGAATTATGAGACGCCATGTAAAGACAAAATCTCTGAATTATAGTCATAGATGAAGAAGGATCCCAGGTCAATGACACAGGCCAGATATTCAACAGAATCATAGAAGAAAATCTCCCCAAATTTAAGGAAAGCTAATCCCATACAGATACAGGAAGCACACAGACTACCAAGTGGGACCAGTAGTGAAATTCCCCAAGGCATATTAGAATTAAAACATTAAATATAAGCCTGAAGAGAAAAAGTACAAATCACATATATGGGAGAACCCATCAGAATAAAATCTGACTTCACAATGGAAATATGAAAAGCCGAAGAACCTAGAATAATGTACTGCAAATTCCAGAAGGACATTGGTGCTTTTGTGGTAAAAGTCTGGAACATAGCTCAAAATAACAAAGGCTATGTGCAACAAACCTATGGCCAACATAGTTTTAAATGGGGACAAACAGTTTCCTCTAAAATCAAGAAAGAGACAAGGATACCCATTCTCCCCTCTCTTATTTGACATCATGCCCCAAGTCCTAGCTGTAGCTTTCAGATGAGAGAGGTAAAATTGATAAATCAGAAGGGATGAAGTCAAATAATTCCTATTTGCAGATGAAATTATTCTTTTTTATTGAAAATAGATTTTCTTTTCATGCAATATATCCTGATTATGCTTTCCCCTCCCTCTACTCCTCAAACTTCCTCTCCACCTCCCCTCCCATCTGGATCTAACCCCTTTTCTGTCTCTTGCAAGAAAACAATGACGCCATGATTCTTTAAAGACTCTATTAAGTCTACTAGAAAACTTTTGGACCTAACAAAAGTTTACAGTAACATTTTAGAACATAAAAATTAATAAAAAAAGGAGTCTTCATTTATACCAGAGTACTCACAGAAAGAATTACATAACATTGGTATTCTCTTTCTGTGGGAAAACTGTTTCTTCCACCCTTAGTTACCTGCAGTTCTTTGTGTAGCATCAAGCCTCATGGTCTTTTCCTCATCCATTTTAGCATGTCTATTGTTACTGTCTTTGTTAGGGCATATTTAGTCTGTCATGTTGGCAAAACATGATGAGTATAGCTTCTGTCATTCCTAGGAGACAGAATCTCATAGCACACTCCCTAATCCTCTGGCTCTTTAAGATCCTTCCACTCCTGCTTTCACAATGTTCCCCAGGCCTCATGTGTTGAGCTGTTTTATAGACGTATCCATTGGGACCGGACTCCACAACTCTGTGTTTTAATTGATTGTGGTTTTCTTAATATTCTCCATCTGTTGCAAAGAGAAGGTTCCTTAATGGGAGGTGAGGACTACTCTTACCTGTGTGTAAAGACAAATATTTAAAATGTAGACAGGGGTTATGATAGATTTGAAAGTGTGGTTGTAGATTCTCCAAGAGTTATGACTTTACTAGCCCTGGGTAGTTGGCTAGATTTCCAGTACAAGGCAAATGTCCCTCTTGTTGACTGTGTCTTAAGTCCAATTAGAGAGCTGTTGGTTACCATTGAAATGTGAATGCCACTAACTGCACCCTTAGGGTTATCTTGCCATGTTGGTCATTCGGGGTCCACTCGAACCACGCACGCACGCACGCACGCACACACACACTCACGCACGCACGCACGCACGCACGCACGCACGCACGCCCGCAAATAACTTCCCATGCCTCTGTAGTTGTGGTTCATAGGCATCATATCTGGGTACAACTATTGGTTGCTTCCCTTCTTTGGAAGTTTGCATGGCACTTTCTGGTACCATTAAAGCTAGTCCTCAAAGAAGGAGCATCCAGGTCACTTCCAGTTCAGGGGCCTCTGGGTATTGTCTGAAGTGTATGACGTTCAGCAATAGGAACTTACTTACCTTTCACCTCTGGGGGGCAATCAAAGACAATAGCAATAGCCTGTATGTCTTGAACAACAACTCAAAAGGGGGCTTCTCATGACTGATATTTACGTTTTGTTAGTCTTGAATCTTGGAGGGAGTATTGTTGGTTACCCAGTACCAAATAGTCAGCTCTGAAAATGTACCTACAAGTAACATATAGATTAAACAGATTGTGTTTATGTGCTTAGGAATATATATGTCATGTATTCAGGAAATAAACACACACACACACACACACACACACACACACACACACACACACACATTTACACAAGTGATGGTTGTTAACTATTCTTGGTTTTCAACTTGATTACATGTGAAATTAACTAAAACCCAAATGACTTGCCATACCTGTGAAGGATTTTTTTCTTAATTCTAATCCAGATCTTTTGAGGTGGGATGATCCACCTTTAATAAGGTCACACATTCTTTTGGAAGCATATATAAAGGACATGGAAGAAATAAGCTTTCTCTTTCTTTGCTTGCTTGCTCCCACATTTGCTAACAAGTCCATCCCTTAGCTGGCATTAGAGTCTACTTCTTTAGGATTCTGGTGTATATGGAAAACTAACTGAGACATCCAGCCTTGTAGACTGACCAACTACTGTATTCTTGGTCCTTCTGTTAGTAGACAGCCATTATTGGGATAGTTGGACCACAACCTGAAGGCCATTCTAATGAATCCCCTTTGTATGTATGTATGTATGTATGTATGTATGTATGTATGTATATACAGAACCTACAGGTTCTGTTCCTCTAGAGAACCTTGGCTAGTATAGCACATAACAATTATTAATGAAAAAAGAGGCCATGAATTTGAGAGACCAAGAAGGATTATATAGAAGGGTTTGGAGGAGGAAAGGGAAGGGGAAATGATGAAATTATATTATAATCTCAAAAACTAAAGGAAATAATTTTGAAAAGAAAGAAAACAGAACAGTATTCCAATTCAAAATAACTCCAAAAATATTTAGTGCTTAGGAATATATCTAAACAAAGAAGAAAAAGCTTTCTACAATGAAAACTTCAAGGTATTGAAAAAGAAAATCATTTCTATGATCTTCTGATACTAGACAATAGAAAGACATTCCATGCTCCCAGATTGGTAGAATTAATATTGTGAAAATGGCTAAAATACCAAAATTAATTACAGACTTAACACCAAATATATCAAAATTCTGATGTCATATTTCACAGATTTAGGAAAAGCAATACAAGAAACCACAAACAACCATGAATAGTCAAAGCAACCCTAAGGAGTAACAACACCACTGATTGCATTATAATATCTGACCTCAAGTTATAGTACATAGCTATAATGATAAAGACCACCTAGTACTTGCATAAAAATAGGCAGGGAAACCAACTGAAAAAAAAGAAGGTCCAGGAATTTAAAAAAGTCAAGGCTATGCCTGCTTACTTTTTTACAAAGGAAGCAAAATTATACATTGAAGAAAGGTAGCCTATTCAATAAATGATGCTAGCAAAATTTTATTTCTACCTGTAGAAGAATTAAATTAGATTCTTATTTTTTACCTTATAGACAGATCTATATTCAAAATAG